CTTGCTGATGTAAAGGGTCTGCTGTGTAGGAGCAAAGGGAGAAGCAAAAGCATTAAAAGAAGGATCACTTTTTAGAGGCAAGGTTTTAGCCTAATAAAATGTTGTAGGTATTAAGCGTAATTTTGTGTTTGCCTTCATGATATGTTAGGTTGGGAATCAGAGTGACTTGGAAAAGCTGGTTGGGGATGACTTTTTGCATGAAGGACTTTAAGAGCTTTTAAAAGAATAAGTGGGACAGGCTAGATGTGGTGGCTCATGCCTGTAATCCCAGCACTTTGGGAGGCCGAGGTGGGAGGATCACAAGGTCAGGAGTTCGAGACCAGCCTGGCCAATATGGTGAAACCCCATCAAGAAAAATTAGCCAGGCGTGGTGGCGGGTGCCTCTAGTCCCAGCTACTGGGGAGGCTGAGGCAGGAGAATAGCTTGAACTCGGGAGGCGGAGGTTGCAGTGAGCTGAGATCGGGCCACTGCACTCCAGCCTGGGTGACAGAGTGAGACTGTCTCAAAAATAAAATAAAATAAAAATAAAATAAAATAAAACTAAGTGGGACACACTTTTACAGTGCATATTAGAATATCTGTAGAGCTTAAATTTTCATTTTCTGGCTGTTATGCACAAAAGAAAAAACTTTAGCCATTTCTTTAGTGAAGCCTCCTTTATTGTGAATGGTTTCTTGATAAAACGTTGTTTCCACATACGTGTAGAATCGAGTCTGTTAGCAAGAGAAGGGGTAGGAAAAGAGCATCTGTAGTGAGATTTGATGGTTATTATTCTGAATTTCTTCATTACCATGTTTCTGGGCAAGGATAAAGGAAAGTACAAGAAATTATCTTCTTTGATTATTATCTTCTACCTCCTTTGATGAAGTAGAGTTCTTTGTGGTGGGGTAAAGAGGCACAGTGCACTGAAAGATTTTTTTTTTTCAGTACTCTGCAGTGTAGCCTCAAAGTTAAGACCTTTTCAAGTTAAGACTCTCCTTCTCTCCCTGTAACTTTTGTCTTTACTTCAAGCAGACTTGGAAGTCTTCAGCTTCTGAATGGACTGAAACCATGAAATCTGAGTTCCATTATTAATCATGTATTTACCTTAGCTGATGGTGTTTTCAAAAGTTTCATCCTTCCTTGTAGTTTTATAGGGTATATGGCTCTGTAAGAATTCTTGTTTTCAGTCTTATTGCTTTTCCTATGCCACAGACTCCTTCCTTTCTTCCTTCAAACATGTAAAGATCTCTTATAGTGGGTAACAGTATGTATTCTAGAGTCAGGCAGTCCTGGCTTAAGTCCTTACTTGGTCACTGGCTATCTATGTAAACTTGAGCAAGTTTCTTAACCTCTCTGTTTTAGTTTCTTCATCTGTAAAATGAGAATAATAATAATTCCTACCTCATATGGTTGGTGTGGGGATTAAATGATTTAATACTTTGAAGTACATAGAAGATGCCTGATACATAGTAGTAGGTAGTCAGTAAATGTTACTTTTATTATCATTATCCTCTTCATCATCTCCCATGCTCAATCACTGAGATTTGTTACTTTTTCTTTTTTAGACTCTAGCATTCCCTTCTCTTTGCCCACTAGCACTGATACAGTTTCAGACCATGACATTAGTACCTCATGCTTAGGTATAGTACTGTCACAGTTTTCAAGAGAGCTTCTGTTAACACCCTGCTGCCTCTAATTGCTAGTTTGTGCCATTGCTTTTCAGTACTAGACTAATAACCGTTTGATATTGTCACACCCCTGCCCAAGAGCCCACAGCATTTTCCAGTATCTTGTTTTATCAAGCCCTTATTTTCTTACCTGACTCTGGCTTATCATTACTCTCTTCCTCTACTCTAGCCAGTCTTGTATGTTCTCATCTACCTTATGTAGTTGGACATTTGCTCATGTTCTTCCTTTGGTCTTTATGCCCTTCCTTAATGTCCTTTGTACTCTTATTATTTCTGTCCTAGCCATATGTAAAGAATCCAAAGATTCTTTCTTTTCTTGTCTTTTTTTAAATTTTGAAATAAAGTCTTGCTCAGTTACCCAGGGTGGAATGCAGTGATGGGAAGAATCCAGTGTTTCTAAGAAGGCTTTCTGGATGTTAAGAACTGAGCTAGGTCAGGAACAGGATTGGTAGAAATGGGAGAGACTCAGACTAGAAAGACACATTGATTTAGAGATCAGAGTATGGATTGGGGATTAGAGCCTTTAAATTTAAGAATGACAAAGAGGAACTAGTCTGAAAAGCAGATCTAAGGTGGAAGGAGCAGTTTAAGCTGTAAGGATTAGGAAGTGAAGGGATGGTATATGAGTGACAACTGAGAGCAAAATTTCAAGGCAGTGTTGAAAATCTGAGATGTCGCTAAGGTTTGAGATAGAGCCGGGCAGATCCAGATGGATCAGGTGGTTTTAAGGTCCACATGGAACAGGCAAGATGGCATACTTCTAAATTCGTAAGAGAACCAGTTAAGATCAAGAACTAGGTGTTAGGAATCTGAAGCAGTGAGTAGTAAGGTCTCAGGCACTCAGAGATTGGAGTTGTAACAGAATAAAGTAGGTCTCCTGGTTAGGCTCTAGTATCAAAATTAGCACAGGGTGACATCAAAACTGAGTGTGCTGAGCCAGAGGACTACTAAATTTCCTTCTGGCTAAGATCAGAACTGGGTTGTGAGAATATTGCTGTTTTGAGGCAACTTTATAGGCTCCTTTACCAGAGGTATAGGGCTGGAGTGACTACCATTAATTAAGGCCTTCACTGATAGCAAGACTGTGAACTAAGTGTAGAATATTGCTGCTTGAGGCAACTTTAGGCCTCTTTACCTGAGGTATAGGGCTGGAGTGACTACCATTACTCAAGGCCTCTCACTTGATTTCAGTGAGCTTAGTGTATGTTCCATATTATTGAGTTCCCAATTAAACACTACTTACTATATCTTGTATTGCTGTGGTAGACTGCTGTGAGTCTCATTTTCTCCATTCGTATCTTAAGCTAGTTCAGATTAGGACCATTTTGAAAAGAACCTTGTGATATGACTGGCATCCAAGTGTGGTGTTATTTTTTTTTTTTTTTTTTTTTTTTTTTTTTGAGGGTGAGTCTCGCTCTGTCGCCCAGGCTGGAGTGCGGCGTGGCGGGCTTGACTCGCTAACCAGCAAGCTCCGCCTCCCCGATTTACGATCTCCTCCTGTCTCAGCCTCTGAGTATTGGGACTACAGGCGCCCCCACCCCGCCGGCTAGTTTTTTTGCATTTTTAGTAGAGACGGGGTTTCACTGTAAGCAGTCAGGATGGTCTCGCTCCCCTGACCTCGTGATCCGCCCGTCTCGGCCTCCCAAAGTGCTGGGATTACAGGCTTGAGCCACCGCGCCTCGCCAAGTGTGTGTGTGTACATTTAAAGCACACAATTTGAGGTATAGGGCTGGAGTGACTACCATTAATTAAGGCCTTCACTGATTTCAGTGAGCTTAGTATGTTCCATATTATTGAGTTCCCAAATTAAACAACAATTGCCACTCACTACTATCTTGTATTGCTGTGGTAGACTGCTGTCAGAGCCCATTTTCTCCATTCGTATCTTTAAGCTAGTTCAGATTAGACCATTTTTGAAAAGAACCTTGTGATATGACTGGCATCCAAGTGTGTACATTTAAAGCACACAATTTGATGTTTGACCTATGTATGAGGGTAAAACTATCACAATCAAGAAAATGAACATATTCATCACCCTCAAAAGTTTTCTTGTGTTCCCTTATAATTCTTCTTTTCTGTACCTCTTTTTCCCCCTCTTCCCCTTTCTAGAATATATATATATATATTTTTTTAAGAGATGGTATCTCACTCTGTCATCCAGGCTGGAGTGTGGGTGCGATCATAGCTCGCTATAATATGGAACTTGGCTTAAGCAATCTTCCTGCCTCAGCGTCTTGAGTAGCTGGGACTACAGGCATGCGCCACCATGCCTGCTATTTTCTAGAATTTTATTTAAATGGAATCATACAGAATAAACTATTTTTGTTTGACTTTCTTCCATTCAGCATATTTATTTTTACCCCCTTAAAAAAAGTATAATTATTTTGAGTGTCAGTAGTTCACTTCTTTTTATTGCTGAAGAGTATTCCATTGTGTGGATATATCTTTATTTTTTCATATGCCTTTTGAAACCAGGAAACAGTCATTCTGTAGGTGATAAGAGAATTGACTGAATTCGGAGACCAGAGGATGAAAGGGAAGAATAGTATGGAGAGAAAATAAGAATAATGTCTTTATCTTATCTCTAAAGACACAGAAGGAAGTGAGTTGTTATAATAGTTGTAGGATATTTGTTTTGGTCTGACTTGACTTCCTGTTGGTTTATCATTTTTCTGTTAATAGTCTGCTAATGCTACTGAAGAGGAGTATAAAAAAACTCAATTATAGGTCAGGTGTGGTGGCTTATGTCTGTAATGGCAGTACTTTGGGAGGCCAAGGCAGGAGGATCACTTGACCCCAGGAGTTCAAGACCAGCCTCGGCAAGATTGAACTCAGGTCTGTTAAAAATAACAAATGAGCCAGATATAGTGGCATGTGCCTATGATCTCAGCTACTCAGGAAGCTGAGGCAGGAGGACTGCTTGAGCCTGGGAGGTTGAGGCTGCAGTGAGCCATGATTGCACCACTGCATGCAGCCTGGGTGACGAAGTGAGACTCTGTCTCAAAAAAAAAAAAAAAACCAAAAACCAACCTCAATAATCGTGTTACATAGTAACTTCAAGTAAACCTTGAACGCCTGTAAATTTGTCTTTCAGACCAAAAAAAAAAAAAAAAATTACAAAGTATTTTTAAAGTTTAGAATTAGAACACAATATAGATCATGTGTTTCCTAATTTCTTCTAGAAGTCGCATCATTAACATTGTTATTTAACGTAGGCTTTCAATTCTGTTGTGTTTACCATAGTTACTGTATTTATTTCAAAGGTTTTTCTTTCTAGAATATATTGATTTTGAATCTGATGATTAAGTTTAAAAATATTTTGTTTTGTAGCCATGCAGGATATACGTACTGTGGGTCTTGTGCCGCCCATGCTTATAAACAAGTGGATCCGTCTATTACGTAAGTAATGTAGTTTTGTTTTAAGTTGGAGAAGCTTGAGAATTGATTGCTTTGTGATAGAAGTAATTTGCTTTTTATACTTACTGTTATTATATGCTCAATTTCATGAGGGGATTTGACTTTTGATGAATTTTACTATACTTTATATAGGTTACTGAAAACTTCAATACTTTTTTGTTGTTGTTTGAACATCTGCTTTTTACCTTCCCTTTGGCATGTAAAATGTTTAGTTATGAAGGTTAAATATTTTGTTTTTAAATATTTCTTTGAAAACCCAGAGATGAGCATTCTTAAGAAAAATGCAAAGCCCTCTGATCTGTTTTAATCATTTCGTAATTTAAAATTCTTTATTGTACTTGTTAAAATTGTGGTTACTGAAAGGATAATTTGTCATTGACGGGATAAGGTATTTGAAATATTTTAGAATCTGACAGTGAATTTAATATGATGTTTGAGGCATATTAACTCTTAATAATTCAATGACAGCTCTGAAATTAGCTTAAAAAAAAAAAAACTTCCTGGAAACTTGAGACTCCTTTAATAGTATACTACTCTGTAAGAAACTTGTGAACTTTCAAGAGGTTTTGCTGGAAATAGTCACTCATTTTATTTACACAGTTAATTTACTAGCTATGAACCAATATCCGGCCCTAGTTTGCCAGATGTACAAGCTATGTGAATAGGTAAAGTGATCATCATAGTTCTGTCAAATACTGATTGTTAGGTCTGAATTAGTAGAGATGTAGTATAGTTGTTCAAAAGAAATAGCTCATAGCAGCCATGATTTAATAAAGAAAATCATGCACAGCCCACTTGCCTTTGAGCAGTTCATTCAAAGTTTTTAAACAAAAAAGCTGTTCTTTCAAATTTTTATGTAGCATTGTCTGTACATTTTATTATAATCATTGAAAATTACTTTTGGCAAGCTTTTAGTAAAAAGAAAGCAATGATATTTATAAATTGGTGAGGTTTTGGCTAGCCCTGTCTCATTTATGATGTTTTGAGGAGCATTGTTCACAATTATTCCCTGATACATGTTTAATATATAATCTTAAGTAATTTCATGAATAAGAGCAAATAGAAGTTAAATTGAAATGATTTTTTAGTCCAGGCCTGGTGGCTCACACCTGTAATCCCAGCACTTTGGGAGGCTAAGGCGGGCAGATTACCTGAGGTCAAGAGTTCGAGACCAGCCTGGCCAATATAGTGAAACCCTGTCTCTACTAAAATACAAAAAAAAAAAAAAAAAAAAAAAAAAAAAAAAAAAAAAAAAAAATTAGCTGGGCATGGTGGCACATGGCTGTAGTCCCAGCTACTTGGGAGGCTGAGGCAGGGGAATTGCTTGAATCCGGGAGGGGGAGGTTGCAATGAGCTGAGATCGTGCCACCACACTCCAGCTTGGCAACAGAGCAAGACTCCATTTCAAAAAAAAAAGAGGATTTTTTATAAGCTTCTTTCATTTGACTTGGGTCTGTAAACCAGCTATAATAAAAGTTAGTTTATATAACAGCCTTTTCTTTTTGAAACTTCCTCTATTTGGCAAAAGTTTTGTTGATAAAACTCATGTGCTAGTGGTTAAATTAGGATTTAGGAATTTGTAGAGGGGTATAGAGTTTATGTTCGTAGAAGTGGGAAGTATGTGTTAAATAAGTTAATGGAAAGTGAGAAAGAAGGCAAAAGGAAAGAGGAAAAATGGAAGAGTGCCAAGGACTAAGAAGAGGAAGATAAAGAAGATGAGTAGAAAGAGAGGCAAATGATGGCTGATGTGATCCAATTATTTTATTTTAATTAATTATTTTTGAGACAGTCCGGTTCTGTCACCCACGCTGGAGTGCAGTGGTGGATTCTTGGCTCACTGCAACTTCTGCCCCCAGGTTCAGTCAGTTCTCCTGCCTCATCCTCCCAGGTAGCTGGGACTACAGGTGCACGCCACCGTACTGAGTTAATTTTTTGTATTTGTGGTGGAGACAGGCTTTCGCCACATTGGCCAGTCTGGTTTCGAACTCCTGACTGCAGGTGATCTGCAGTCAGGCCTCGGCCTCCCGAAGTGCTGGGATTACAGGCATGAGCCACTGTGCCCAGCCCGATCAAATTATTTTTTGTAATTAATATATAATAATTGAATTCTGAATGAATAAATTTTAAGGTCTAAGTGTAAAATTAATAATTGACAGTCACAGTTGATTTCTCTTGAAAGAGGCACTCTCTGGGAATTATAATGTCTTTGGAGTGCTTTGAGAAAGTAGAGAAAGAACATCCTTATGAGAAAGGTTAAATTCTATACTACCACTTTCTGTTCTTAACTTCCACATTAATCCATTTGCATTCTATTTTTCAGCCAGGATCATCTTTTGAAAATGTAAATGATACTATGTCACTTTCCAGAATTTAAAAGTGGGTAGGGGATACAAATATGATTTTAAAAGGCATTACAAATAACAGGTAGCAGTTATTCCAAAATTGATGTTAGAATGCTGACTAGCAGCTTGGAAAAAGAAATTGTCTTAGAACCTCTGCTAACACCATCCATCAAAGTAAATACTAGTTAGGTAAGGGTATTAACATATCTGGAGAGGCATTTCAAGCCACAGCTAATTTGGAACACCATATGTCTTAATGTTTATGAGACATTGTTGAGAAGAGTATAAAACATGATAAATTGTAATTAAATTACATGAAAAAATAACTCAAGTCATAATGTAACCAGTGGAAGTGATGAACAGTATGGGAAAAATACTTGCAAAAAAAATGACAAAGGATAATATCAAAAAATCATAAAATTCTTAGTACTTAGAGGCTAACTCATCATAATAAGAATATGAACTGAAATTACAAGAAGTAAATGTAGTTAATAAAAATGGAAATATGTTTTATTTTTCTAAAAAAATAGAAATAAAAACAGTAGTGAAGTGCCAATTTAAATGAATAGTTTGAAGAACAATACAGCCGGGCGCGGTGGCTCAAGCCTGTAATCCCAGCTCTTTGGGAGGCCGAGGTGGGCGGATCACGAGGTCAGGAGATCGAGACCATCCTGGCTAACACGGTGAAACCCCGTCTCGAGGTGGGCGGACTCCCAGGCCGTGGCACTCCAGACCATCAACACGGTGAAAACCCCGCCTACTGCTGCACATAAATACACAAAAATCAGCTGGGCATGGTGGTGGGCACCTGTAGTCCCAGCTACTCGAGGTGGGCTGAGGTGGGGCAGGAGATGGCGTGAACCTGCAGGGAGGCGGCGGAGCTGCGGTGAGCCGAGATCGCGCCACTGTACTCCAGCCTGGGTGACAGAGCGAGACTCCACCCCAAAAAAAAAAAAAAAAAAAAAAAAAAAAAAAAAAAAAAAAAGGAACAATACAGTTGTATAATTCCTATAATCCAGAACTGGCTAGATTATGGCAAAATTAGTTTTTTATTTAAAAAAATGCATTTCAATGGACTATATCAGGTTAACGCTTTAGGAAAGCAATTTGATAATATATATTAAGAGTCATAAAAATGTATATAATTACTGGCTTAGAAATTCACGTTCGGAAGCTCTATCCTAATAAGTCCCAAAATGAAAAAAGTTAAATATGTTAAGTTTTCTACAGCAGCATTGTTTTTTTAAAGAGTTAAGTTTCTGATGGTGCATTGACTAAATAAAAAAAGCAGGGTATAAAATTGTGCAAAATTGGGAAAAAAGAATGTACTATATGAGGTTAAATAAATTATTGTAATGGATGCTAATAGTTTGCATATGTTTTCTTATATGAGTAATAGATATATTATTTTAATGGTGAAAAATATAAAATTTAAAAGCATTTGTGCAAAAATGATTACAAGTTGAGGGGATTAATGATTCTTAAACTGACGGAATCGTTCTTTGATTTATAATATGACTGATCAGGGCCTAATAACATTTTTCGTTCTTTTTCTTCTTCTTTTTTTTTTTCTGAGTTGGAGTCTCTCTTTGTCACGCAGGCTGGAGTGCAGTGGTGCAATCTTGGCTCACTGCAACCTCCACCTCCTGAGTTCAAGTGATTCTCCTGCCTCAGGCTCCCAAGTAGCTGGAATTACAAGCATATGCCACCAGGCAGGCCTGGATAATTTTTTTATTTTTAGTAGAGATAAGGTTTTACCATGTTGGCTAGGCTGGTCTCGAACACGTGACCACAAGTGATCTGCCTGCCTTGGCCTCCCAAAGTGTTGAGATTACAGGCATGAGCCACTGCGCCTGGCCAAGATTTTTCTTTTCACAGTAACTAGTAGGGCTGATAACTTAATGGGGAGTGTGAGAAGCAGGTTTTGAGGTGATAACGAAGATTGTTTACAAACAAACTTCCCTATTTCATGAAGAATTAGTAGCAAAGGTTTTCAGATGTTGCTTTCCAAGAGAAATGGATGAATAAATTAAAGCATATTTATTTTAAAAGTTTATTAAGTGACTGCTATGATCCAGATATTGTGGTAGTGCTAGAGACACAGCAATTAATAAAACAGACATGGTTTTAGCTCTGTGCTGATAAATTGGTAGGTGAGATAGATATTAAGCATATGATAATGAATATAGATATCTTATTAAAAACTAAAAATTTAAAAGCTGAAAGTGAAATACAGTGGTTCTCAAACTTCTTGGTTTCAGGAACCCTGTATACTTCTAATTTATTAAGGACACCAAATGTAGACCACATCTACCTTTGTTGAATGCATTCAAAATTAAAATGAGATACTTAAAAAATTATTTTAAAAGTAAACAAATTAGAGGTTAATAAAAACATTTTTAAAAATGAGAAGTACATTTTCTAATAGAAGATAGTGGGAAAAGTGGCATTGCTTTAACTTTTTTTTTTTTTTTTTACAAAATGTAAAAATGTCATATTTTTACTAGTTATTAAATCTCCTTTTAATGTTTGGCTTAATAGAAGAAGATAACTATGTTCTCATATCTGGTTATGCATTCATCCTGTTGTCATCATTTGTTTTGGTTGAGGTATATGAAGAAAATCTAACCTCACACAGAT